TAGATTGCTATGGAGCACAGGCAGATCTATGAGGGGGGGGGGCTTTTCGGGCTGGAGCCTTTCCCTCCCTCCAAAAATGGTAAAATATAACCACGTTTTACAAAAAAATATTAAAAACTGTCTCTTGTGCTATTATTGTCCGTGTAATTACATTTAATAGGACTTCAAGAATCACTAAGACTCCATATCATACGGGTAGTTAGTTTCTTTCTTTTTTTTTTTTTATTAACTATCGTTATATATGTGAAAAAAAAAATCCTTCAGGCTAAAGCACTCCCCCCCCCCCAAAGAAAAACAAAAAAACAAAACAATAATTAAATTCTGGACCTGCTAGTGTTATGGAGAAACAATATCTTATTCTGTACCAGTAAGTTTTTTTATGTAATTCTATTTTATGTTTTATACCTAAAATTTATTATTGGATACATTTCTGGCAGGTTTTACCACAATATTTTTATTTTATTAGAAAATTATTTAAAGTTGGACTACTTTTTTAAAACATTTTTTACATTCTCTCAAAAGTATTGTAATCGGAATTAAATTTGCATCAAATTAATGTTTAAGGCAATATGGGTAAGGTGGCATAGTTTAAACTGTACTTATGTCTTTGCTATTTTATGCCTTACGGCAGTACAATCCGAGTACAGGCCAGGGGACGCACGCAATTTGTAAATCTAAAAAAAAACGTCTACCAAGTAAGACCAGTGTAGCTTCTTCACCTTTTTCATTAGATAAACAATACATTCATATCAAAGTCTATAATTATTAGTATAAGAATAAAATCTAAGGTAAAGGCCGTTTTCGAAAATACAGTAACTCGGTAACATTCGCGGGTTTGATAGCCACCAATTTTTTTCATCAACGAATACTAAAATACGGAAGAGTTCCACATTTGAAAATCGCTTATTTGATGAATAGTGATTAAAAAAAGTAAAATCCCAGCACATAATGAAAATGTATATCGCAGCTGTTAGTGCAAAAGGTTGTATGTAAAAATTGAGTGCTTTATAGGATAGCATAAAACTAATTATTGCTTTATGATTTATTAGTGTAATTTCATACTTTATTTTCCTCCTGCTATTTTCCACGGTACCAGGCTGCCTATATCAGTTGCAAATTACGAAATGTCAACTTTAGCACAAATAGAATGGAAAATGGAAAATTGTTACATAGCACCTTTGCACTATTAGTAGCGATATATTCTTAATAAGTATATTTCCACTAATGAAATTGGCCTAACAAAAAAATCCATTGGAAAAATTAAACTTTTTGTTTTTTTTCGGAGTCAACGAGACCAATATTTTCCCTCAGTCAGAACCAAACTAATTTAAGCTGGAATATAAAAATATGACCGAAGTTCACACTGCTTTGATAATTAAATAGGAAATCATAGCTGGTTGAAGTTCAATAGAAACAAACAAAATCACAAATAAGACTTTTTTTACTAACCAAAAGAAGTAAAAGTTAATTAAAATTACATAAAAACTAACGTTTAGAATCAACCAAACAGTGCATTATAAATTAACTTTTTGAATAAAATCTAAAATGTTAAATATAATATTATTAAATGAAATTGGTATTAGACAATTTCTGAACTATTCTCCGCATTTCCTCAAAGTTTGAGTCAAATTGAACAAGCCGTTTTCAAACTATAAGAATATCAAATAATACGTTTCCTGATCCGAAAGCGGAAGTCTTTGTTTTGAGAATTCTGGATAGAATTTGATAAAATTGATACTTGCTTAATTATCTGTTAAGTAACCCCTAACTTCCCTCCAAATTTGATCCGAGTTGAACAAGTGGTTTTAGAGATATATACGCATCGAGGAAAACGCGTTTGCCCATATATTACATAAAGTAGATGACGGAATTCAATAAAACTGATACAGAATCATTATTTTACCAAAACCAACCTTTTTTTTTAAACTTTGAGCTCAATCGAATGAGCCGTTTATGAAATATTGGCGTATCTATGAAAATACATTTACGCGTGCGTAAGCGGAAGTGCTGGATAGAATTTAATAAAATTAATATGGGACTATCTAGACATCAACTCACACAATCCCTAAAAATTTGATGAAAATCGGAAGAAAAGTAGTAGGTGATATGCCCGTCACATCGATTTGACTACAGACAGACAGCAGACAGACGCCGAACCAAATTTGATGCTTGATGTCTGAAACGTAAAACGCAATTGGAAATTTTCGATTCTGAGCACAAAATGTTTACCTTTTCTCTTAGTATCTAGTAGCTCAAATGCGGTTAGTTTAATTTTACCCACATTTGAAAGAAATTTGTGCAATATTGCTTCCTCACTACCGAAGGTAGGGAAGGATTGTGTTCGCGAGAGGTTAAAAAAAATTGTGCTCAGAATCGAAAAATTTCCACTCGCGTTTTACGTTTAAGACATCAAGGATCAAATTTGGTTCGGTGTCTGTCTCTCTGTATTCAAATCGATGTGACGGACATATCACATAGTAACGTTCATTAGAGTTTCATGAAATTTTCAGGGATTATGCGGATTGGTGACTAGATGGTTCCATATCAATTTTATCTTATTCCATCCAGCACTTTCGCTTACACACGCGCAAACGTATTTTTTTAGATATGAAAATATTTCAGAAAGAGCTCGTTCGATTAGGCTCAAAGTTAGATAAAAGGTAGATATTGGTAAAAACATAATGTAGTGTCAATTTTATTGAATTCTGTCCACTAAGTTTTCTTATATATGCGCAAAAGTGTTTTTCTTGATACGTCTATATCTCTAAAACCGCCCGTTCGATTCGGCTCAAATTTGGAGGGAAGTTAGGGATTGGTGAACATGTATCAAGTATGTATGAATTTGATCAAATTCCACTCACTAGTCCAAAAAATAATACTTCCGCTTTCGGATCAGGAAATGTATTATTTTACATGCCTATAGTTTGAAAACTGCTCGGTCGATTTGACCCAAACTTGGAGGAAATTTGGAGAGTAGTATACAAATTAAATGGTATCAATTTCATTGAATTCTATTTAATACTTAAAATTAATATAAATAATTGTTATCAATATAATGGCTGTGAAATGTGGGAGGCATTGATCATCTGGAGTGGGAATTAGATTAACGCGCTATTTTTATGGGGTTATGAAATTTTAGGTTTTATTCAAAAAGTTAATTTATTATGTACTGTTTGGTCGATTTCAAACGTTACTGTCATGACACTCACTGCCGTTACTTATACTACATGTAATTTTCAGTAAATTTAAATTAATTTTTACTATGTTTGTATAAAGACAAAGACTTATTTGTTATTGTGTTTATTTCTATGGAAATTCAATAAGCTCGGTCGTGGTCTCGATTTCATCATTAAATATCAAAGTTGTGTGAACTTCACATATATTTTTATATCGGAGTTAATTCGGAACAAACAAAAAATTGGATTTTTCTATTAAGTATATATCGCTACCGTCAGTGCGAAAGGCCGTATGTAAATATTTTACTTAACTTTCATTCTATTTATGCTAGGTGACATTTTGTACTATGCAACTGATCTAAGCAGTCTGATACGATGAAAATAGCCGAGGGCAATAAAATATGAAATTATACTAATAAAACATAAAGAAACAATTAGTTTTTTTGCTCTCCTGTAAACATTCAATTTTTATATATGGTCTTTTGCACTAACAGTAGTGATATTAATATTCAGTATGAAATGATTTTTTTTTTAAAATACGATTCATCAAATATACAATCTTTAAATGTAGAACTCTTTCACATTTTAGTATTCAATGTACAAAACTCGTGAATATCAAACCTGTATATGTTGAGTCCCCGGATTACTGAATTTCCGAAAACGGCTTCTCCCAAAGATTTTATTCTCATACGAAAAATGTTAGATCTTTTAATATAAATATTTTTTAGCCAATGAAAACGGTGAGGAAGCTATACTGACCTTACTTGGCAGACGTTTTTTTTTTTTTTTTTTAAATGGTTTAGTATCAATTTCATTAAATTACATATAACAATTAAAATTAATGTACCTAAATGTTAAGAATATTATGTTGGTTAAATTTGGTAGTCAGTGAACACGTGGAAAGGGAGGTTATATATACACACACTGTAGTTATATCTGGTTATAAGATTTTAATGGAAGAAATAATGTAATAAACTTTATTCTGTTGTCGAACCTATAAATGTGTTCCGGTACTAGTTAAGCACATAATCACAACTGGTATTAATTTGATGAGATGAAATTTTGAAGGATTGTGAGTGTCGGTATCTAAGTGGTCCAATATCGAATGTCAAATAACATCTACTTCTCTCGTTTAGGCGTGGATTTTTCTTTGACAAGAAAATACTTCAAAAGTTAATTCTGCCATAGATTTTATTTCCGAACGAAAAATGATACATCTTGGTATATAAGTAATTATGTTTTCGACAGAAATAGTAATGAAACTATACTGACCACACTTGATATTTTATTTTTAAGTTTAGTCACTATCAAAGCAATGCAGCAATATCAGATAATATATTTTACAATTTCCCTTATTTTTAGTTGTTAGGTCATAATTATCGTTTAAAAATACTTTATATAAGCTCAAAAGTACCCAAAGGTGGAGGTGTAAAGGATGGTATGAACTTTGATGATTTGGTGTCGCCAGAACCAATGATTCCTCTAAAATGACTGAGATGATTCGAAAATTGGGTACGAAACTGGAAAAAAATGTTTATGACATTTCGGTTTTTCTCCAGTCGAGTCCTGAGCTTCATCGGCTTCGTTGGTATACATTTTTTAAGATATATATATATATATATATATATAAAATTATGTTGAAAATTTGTGATGAGTACTTAACAGTTTCTAAATAATAATAAAGATGAAGGTGATGATATGATTTAAATACTACAAAACATCTGAAAAATAATATTCTCCATGACAACAGTGTCTTATCGTTTAGGTACTTGTTTCCGCTATTCCATAATTTGTTGAACAAAAAATAGCAATTATTTGACAATAATGGGTCTTTTATCGATAATACAATATGTAAGTAAAATGCGGTTGTAGTGCATATTGTTTTAACTCACATTAATAATTAAATCAATTCCAGTACAAAAAAAGGCCTTCTAGACAAATCTTCAACTCCAATCTGTACAGCATAAACAAGCAATATAGTGTAAGTGAACAATTATGTAAACCTTTCATATAAGATTTAATAGCTACATTGTTTAATTTAGTGAACGGTTTATTAGCGTTGCTGAATATTCACAATAAAATACTTTGAACTACTGTATTAACGGATTTTAAATTAAATTTCTAATTTATGCTTCTGTCATCTTATTAAAAATAAAATTAGCATAAAGACAAAAAATTTCATTTGGAATTTAATTGAGTTATTTGAGATCATTTACTAGAACAAATAAATTCTTCCACTTTTCTGTCATTTTTTTCTCCTAATTTATATATTATACTCCGTTTCCAAATTGGAATACAACTGCAATTAAATACAAATTTGCATTAGTTAATTTAGTGCTGATTGTAATAAAATATGAATTATTAGTAAGTCGGATAAATGGTAGTTTTTTTTAAAGGAAAGTGAAATTCGTAATGTAGCCACCTGTAATTTGTGTGGAAAGGAATTTTAACATATCTAACTTACTGGGTTAGGATGGAATGATTTATTTCGTCGTTCCTCTAAAGCTTCTCTACCTAGACGAAACGGCAATGAACATTCAGAGCTCAGTGAGACTGTCCAGAGTTCACCTAAGTTTTCTCATAGACTCTAACAAGATTGTTTGCTTTTTAATATAGAAACCTAAGGCAACATTTGCAATAAATCTTGTCTAATGCTTGTTTACGCTGATGATCAGCATATCGTTTGTGCAGATTTTAAGCATGTTGATTGCCTTGCTAATTCTTCAAAAGACTGCTAAATTTGTATTTCTGGTAAAAGAATTTTTGTAATTTGTGTAGCGATTCTTAAAGTGAAGAGAAATTAGGAGAAAAATAAAAATCGGACTTTAATTTCGATTATATAGAGGACCCTTCTCTAGATATTACAGTTAAACACTACAAATAATATGCAACCAGAAATTCAACATCGGATTATGACAGACAGTAGAAATATCTTAAAAATCAGTTTCTTTCCAAGACAAGAATGTACAAGACCCAGATTAGTTTAGGTTATCACATATTTGACATGGTGTTGACACAGAAAAAAATACTTAGAATTATTTCTATTGAGATTTGAAAGAAAAAAAAGGATTAAGAGGTCTATGTTTAACAAAGATATTTGGAGGTTAAAAAATATGGTGAAACAATTATTTATCTCCATGATGACAATGACGTGATGCATATAATAAAGATTGGACCTCTTAGATGGGCAGGGCATATTATAGGACTAAATGATAATGAAATCACTGAAATGGTTTCATGGGAAACAATTTTCGGACGCACGAAATACGGAAGCGCTCGTCTGCAATTGGTGGTTTTGTAGTTTGATGCCAAGAGAGTGTTGTGGAATAGAATATGGAACACAACAATTCGATGAAACCGACGAATAGAACGCTATAAGCTTGATGGTTGCAACTCCTCTCATATTGCAGAATCCAATCGATGGTGTTATTCGTCTGCATCGAAAATCCGTGATGACCGAGACCGTTGAGACGTCGTCACTTTAGCAACATCAGTTCTAGCGACATTTACTCGATTCCAACCAGTGCGGGTTTAAATTCATTTTCCGACTTTATCATTATTAAACTCGAATTCATGACTCTCTCACTTTGGTTAGAATAGGTTGAATATCTGCAAGATAACCACCTCGGATGACGGGAATGGCCAAATCAAAGGTGTATTGTTATTGGTACTGGTGGGGGAAACTAGTCCAGCAAGTGGGCCTATAGTGGTCAGTTTTGCCAACCCCTGGCGGCTATCTCGAGGTTGCCGCCGCGTACTAGCTAGCAGTGGAGAATGCCACGATATAATTCTTGGGGCCAACGAGAAATGAAAAGTAACCGACCCAGGTGAAAATCGAACCCACAACATTCAGAACCAGACGCTCTGAATAAAAAAGTTCACTATCACCTCTGATCACAAGTTTAGATCAATTTACCACCGTCCCTTGGTCCATAGAACATAAAGAAGGCTTAGAGATCGTTCCTTACTACCAGCTAGTTATTCACAAGGAATTAATCTAGCTTAACGACCTTTCGGTTTTTTTGATTAGAGCCTCAGGCTGTGTTTCAGTTGTCAGCAATTGAGTATGCCATAACGTTTTTAGAACAGGCGGTGATCATCTCCATAGTAGATATGCAGAAACTTTGGACTTCCATTTCACTGTTCAGAGCTATAAGCTCTCCATGTGAGACCAAAATGCATGATCAAGTTCCTTAGAGATTTCTGGACCGCTATAACATCCGTCATGAAAAGTGGTCAAATGTTTCAATGCGGCAGACATCAGGTTAATTTTTTTTTAAACCTCAGGTCTATTAGCACAGTCAAGGAGGAAGGTATAGTGTGTAGAGACCTAAGCGATTTCTTCAGAAACATAATCAGGATGCTTAGGATGTGAACATATCAAAAGTTTGTCTGGCGTCTAGATGGTGAGCCAGGAGTGGTATGAAGGTGATGGATCGCAATTATTTTGTTTTCAGACCTAAAGTTGTGATCAATGTTATTTCCCTATTCACTTACTTACCTCTTCTTGAACTTTTCATATACATCGTCTTATTTTTATTTACTCTAAGGTCCAGTTTAGCCGCTGTCTCTTCGAATTTCTGGAATTTTCCTGGTAATCCTGCGTGGGTTCTAGAGGTACTGACATTATCGGCATATGCCAGATGTTGAAACAAAAAATTGTAGATCGTTCCCCTAGGATTAGTTCTGATATAACGAATAGCAACTTACATAGCTAGGTTCAAAAAGTATGAGAGATAAAGGACCATCCTGTCTCAGGCCAATATCCACCTCAAATTCTTCGGACAGCGAATTTCCAACCTTCACTCAACAAGTAGTCTTCGTTAGCGTAATTATTGTTAATCTGACCATTTTCTTGTGTATGTCACATCTACTATAGATTTCAAAAGTCCTTTCATATCTACACTGTCGTATGTCTCTTTGAAGTATACTAAGAGAAGGTATATGTCTATGTCATAACGTCTAAAATCAAAACATTTTTCCATTGCTTTTCTCAGAGAGATCTGACTATTGTTGATCTTCCGGGCCTAAATCCTCTCTGATATTCTTATATACATTTTCAGTGAAATCTGTCAGTATTTTAAGTAGGAGTACTAAATATACTTCCAATATTTTATAGATTGTACTTAATAGAGCAATGCCTCTATAATTTTCATATAATAGCATATCCTCTTGCTTGTGTATGGAACATACAGCTGCTCTCGTCCAATCTCCATCAATTTTTTTCCATCCATATCTCCCAAATTAGGTCATAAATTTCCTTACATCAGATCTCCTTCTTTCTCTTTGCACAATCTAATTCTGGCTTCAAATATTTTTTTTTATGTCCTCATCATAATCGGCTTCTCATCTTTTAATCATGAAATCCCCTCTACTTTCTCTGGTCTTTCTTCTTAGCATGTTAAACCTCTCTCTGTTTCTTTCTTCTTGGACTCTCTCACACCCTTCGTCAAACCACTTAATTCTTTAAGTCGGTCCCTTCTTCCCAATTACCTCTACTTTTTGCTACTAATTGCTACTAATTTTTGCTACTTTCTCCCACTGCATTTTTACTTTTTCCCATCTATCATTTATGATTTTGTTTTGTTCAATATGTTCCCACGTTAAATCTTCTCTTCGTTTTTGATGATTTCCGCTACTTCACTTTTGTGTAGTTTTTTTGAGCTATAACCTTGCGCTACACCCTTTGTAATGCTACAATTTCTTATTGCTAGCTTTTGTTGATAATAGGCTTGACCATGTTGTGTTCAGTATCACAGTTCGATCCTCTAAATACCCTAACATTTCTGATATCAAATGCATGTCTAGTTTCTAAGAGAACATGATTTATTTGATTTCTGGTTTTAGAATTTCTGCAAATTAATTTCCAACCAGTCTATAGTTACAGCTGTTTTAAAATGATTCAGAACATTTGGTCATTTTCAGAAAAAGTTGTTTTTATCATATTCTTGACTTTTGTTCATTTGTCTAATAATATGTGCGGCCACACTTTAAAGCCAGTTATTAAATAAAACACAAAAACTCATGTTACTTAAAAAAATTAATATTGTATTTTACAGGTAATAAAAAGTCTCATGATAATTTTATTCTATTTTGTTACATTAGACATATACAATTATAAACCTCATTGTTATCACTGTACTCAAGAACTTCTTAATATTATATAGTCTCACAACTCTATATAGAGTAACCATTTTTATCATTTTTGGATGTGAGGGTCTTAGGAAGGGTTGTTCGTTCTATGCATTTTCACCTCAGTAGTGGGTGGTTCTTGCTCTATATCTTCATCGCCGTCCTTGGCAGCACGGGCGGATCTAGGGGGGGGGGCTTTCGGGCTGAAGCTCCCCCCCCCCCAAAATGGAAAAATATATCCATGTTTTATGGGAAAAAATTTAAAAAATAACTCTTAAAGTATTATTGTTAAAAGTACTTAAGGAATAACTTGAACACCATTTCATATAGGTAGTTAGTTTCTTTCTGCTTTTCCAAAGTAATTATCGTTATTTTTATGAAAAAAAGAGGTTCGTGCTGAAGCCCCCCCCCAAAAAAATTAAATCCTGGATCCGCTAGTGCTTGGCAGGAGGCACCCTGTTGACAAATTTTCATTGGTAGTGGAATGGCTCGGTGCAGAATGGCTCAGCATTGTTTTTAGGCATCCGCATTTGTCTCTACCGTTTATCAGATTATCATGAAATATTGAGAGATTGTGCGGGTTGGCGTCTAGATGGTCCCATATCAGTGTTATCAAAACCCATCCAGCACATCCTTTTGCGCAAGCGTAAAGGTGTTTTCTTGGATATGCCAGTACTTCAGAAACGGCTCGTTCAATTTTGTTCAAAGTTGGCAAAAAGGGAGATATTAATAAAAAAATAATGTAGTATCAACTTTATACAATTCCGTCTTACTTTTTTAAAAAATATATAAAATTATACTAATAAATCTTCAGAAGAAATAATTAGTTTTTATGCTCTCCTGTAAAACACTCAATTTTTATATACGACCTTTTGCACTAACAGTAGCGATGTGCATATTCAATATGTACTGGATTTTTTTTTTAAACTACGATCATCAAATATGCAATCCGCAAATGCGGAACTCATTCGCATTTTAGTATTTGCTGATAAACAAAACTCGTGAAAATCAAGTCCGTATATGTTGAGGGATTAATGAATGTCCGAAAACGTCATCTTTCAGAGATTTTATTCTTATATGAAAAAATTTAGACCTTTTAATACAGATATTTTTTAAAAAATGAAAACGGTGATGAAGCTATTCTGATCTTACTTGGCAGACGTTTTTAAAGTAACATGATTTTTTTCAACTTTAGTTAATAACTGGATTTAACGCATGGCCACACATATTATTAGACAAATGAACAAAAGTTGTGGGCCAGGAATATAATAAAAAGAACTTTTTCTGAAAATGACAAAATTCTATGAAAATTGTTAAAATATCCGTAACTGTAGACTGAGTGGAGATTAATTTTCATGTGTATTGTATATATATATTCTAAATGGAAATTGAATTATATATAACTACTTACAGATAAACCTCTTTTTCTGAGGAATATTTTACGCGATATGAAGAAACGTTTAATGAAAACTATGAAGTAAAATGATTTTTTTTTCTTCTCGAAAACGTCAACTATTTCCGAGCGTGTAACTTTGGAAGGTGGAACAAACGGCAGTGTAATTGTATATGACCTACGATTTTTCTGATTCTACTTTTCTTTGCTCAGTTTTTTAGAAAAGGTGAGCAATAAAATATGTTGGGAGAGAAGAGGGAGGATAGTTTCTTCCGCCATTGACCTTGGGGGGATTGGTCATCCCTGTGAAGGATTACTGTATTTTCGAAAAAAGGTTTCTTCTGGAGATTTTATTCTCCTCTGATAAATTATAATCCTTGAGATATAGATATTGTTAGACAATGAAAACGGTGGAGAAGCTATAATGAATGGACAGCCTTTTTTTCTTTTCTCTTTGAGGCTTCCTTTTTATGAGTTCATTATTTGTGTTTGTAAAATGCTATTTTGCAAATAGCCTTCTGAAAAATTAAAAATTAATTATTTCCAAATATAATTTTTCAAACATTGCTTAGTTAATCTTGGTGGTGACAATACAAAACCAATGAAGATGTAGAACAAAATTGGTAAAAAGCTATTTTATACTGTTAAGTGATCTATTTCACCAAAAATAAAACATAAAAAAATGTAAATGTTTATTATATTTAAATATTTTATTCATGACTTAACTATACTTTAAAATTACTTACCACCTTTATCTCATATTTCATATCTCCAAATTAGATGTAGTTTTTTTTTTTTTGCCTCTGTTTTAAGATTTAATCAATTACATGGATGAAGTTTACTTTTATAAAAATCATAATTTAAATACTTTTGAGTTATTTCACTACTTAGTTATCCTGATAGTGCGGTATATGATTTTACAATTGGTTGGATAATCTAATATATTTGTATGTTTAATTAGTTTGTTCATGAACTAATATATTACTAAAATAATCAATGTTTATAGGCAATAAATTTCATTCCTCCAGAAAGCAATATTAGAACTCAGATAGAAAAAGAAACTGACCTCCGACATTATTATGCTTCTTCGGTAGCTAAAAAGTGGTTTGCTGTAATTATTTTAGGACTTTTTATTGGAACGTTAGGAGCAGTAATGGCCCTGATAGTAGAAGAAATGTTCATTTTAAAGAATTTTGTTCTGAAAGAAAGTAAACCTATATCGTTGTATTCTTGTATTGTAAATTGATTAATAAGATTCGAATATATTAAAATATGTTTGTATTTTCAGCCTTGAAGTATGGTTTAATAGGTTCCAGTTTCGTATGGATGGTTTGGACAGTGTTTCCAATAATGATATGTTCATTCGTTGTTATGGAATTTGCGGTAAGTTTCATAACTATTCATTTGTCAAGTAAGTTGTCTTAGATTAAGAAGTATGAGAAGTTGTATACAATTAACAAGACGTCGAACACTGAGACTCGTGATGACGTTTGTCAGCAAGAAGAAGGCTGTTCACCTGACGTCGGGGAGAGAGCTCTTGGGGAGACTCCTGGGGACAGGCTGAACTCCTAGCGAAAAGCTATGCAGCTAGGGATGCTGATCGGACGACAAATGCTCCTCTCCCCCCCCAATACCAGAGGGATCGCTCTCTTTTTCCAACGATGAACATGTCTTCAGTACCTTCAATCAGCTAGAGTCGGTACTCCGGCTCACCAAAGGAAATGAGGTGTCTGGACAAGGTACCATCCGTATTTGCTTTTGAAGATGCGCCCCAGGAAAGACAAAGCCTTCCTACTGTACAACTTCAAGCCGTGTCGGATGGTACTTTGTCCTGACACCTTATTTCATTTGGTGTTCCGGATTTCCTTCCAACTCTTTGCATGGAAACAAGCGATTGTAGTGCCATTACTCAAGCAGAGGAAGGAAGGAGACTCAGCTATGCACTGTCAAGAAGCAACTGCCCACACACTTCACCATTGGAGGAGTCGGACAGGGGATCTCCACCTCCATCCTCTTCCTTGGTGTTACACTGGATAGACACCCCTCGTTCTCCAGTCATGTCAGAGAGAGAGGCTCAAGCTGGCTAAGTAGAAGTCTTACCAACCTTACCACCTTTTAATGTCGCCATAGCTCTCCTTGAGACTCAAGCTGGAATTCTGCAATGCCATCATAAGTCCCATGGAGATTTTCTTCGAAACCTCTACAAAAATAAGCTGTAACCATTGCAAGGCTTCCCGAACTCTGTCCTCCGGTGGATCCTCCGAGAGGTGTACCAGCTTCACTTGGTGCCTGAGTCCATTGGCCGGAGGCACATGGAATTCTTTTATAGGCTGATGACCTGTGCCTACCCATATTTCCAGGAGATCGCCCCACCTTCCAGGCCTGAGAAGTTGCCGAGTGAACTATCTGAATGTCAGCAACACAGTTAAGACCCGCTGCACGTGTGAATATTGCAAACAATTCTGATAGCAGCGATTCCATGCGTTACTATCGATATAGAGGGTCAGTTTTTTAGCGATAAGTATCTTACTCTTTGACTCATGATTTTTTGCCTATCTTTAAAAAACCCATTAAACTATTCGATATGAACAACCAGTACAGGGCCTTAGAGAATAATAAATAATACTAATAGATTTAATAATAATTGAAGAATAAATTATAAAAATGATTCGCTGATGATTCGTCTAATGGGATAAGGCATTGGAATAAATAACATCAAGTAAAGGTAACTACCTGTTTTCAGTTTAATTTAGCTCTGGAATATACAGTTAGAAAAGCAAAAATACATGTTGGTAAAACAATGTTTGATAAACATATTTAGATTCTAGCTTAAGCATACAACCTCGACATCAGCAGAAATTCACCGATGGACATCAGAACATTACTAACATTGATCATACCAGCTAATATACTTGGCCTCGAAGTCAACCGAAGACAAAGTACTTATTGATAGGAGACACTACAAGACCTGAAGAAATCGTAAACATTGACTAGTGCAATTTCAAAAAAAGTTACGCAGTTCTCTTAATTAGAGTCATATGTTACAAATTATAATAATGTAGCATCTGTAATCTACCAATAATGAAATTAAAAAGAGAATTTTAAATGTCAACTGCTGCTATTTCAGATCACATAAGGATTTTTATAGTCGCCTCTTATCCAGACAAACCGTGGTCCAACTCTACTCCTCTTGATACTCTTCCACGGCTGTGAGACATGGACGCTCACCCAAAATCACGATACGTGATCTATTGTTTGAAAGGAATGTCCTCCTTAGAATATATGCAAGAGTTCATGTTGTCTGTAAAGGATTCAGAAGTATCTAAAATTATCTACATTTTCGATTTTACGAATCGATCTCATCTCATGTTCTTTTACAAGGAAAGGTTAAATAAAAAACGGTCTTTGTTGCAAAATATTTCCAGTTGTATGATTAAATCCCTTCACTGCCGTGGCTGACCACAGTATTAAGGTCACTGATAACACCTTATCATTATCCAATCGGAAGCGTGATCGTTCGGATCCGGCCTGTACAGGTGGAAAGAGAGGGAAAATGCTTTCAGGCTAAATCCTCAATAAAAAATGATAGTTTTTTTAATTTTTTTTTTTTTTTTACAGTAGGCAATAAGAACCTTGTAACTCATCCAGTCTGTTTAAACTACATAACTCTCTATTTCTATTGGAATATTTAACATAGATATTCCTTCTTCTTCTTTTTCTTATTCGATGATCTCTCATATTTTTCAGTGCAAAGATGACATAGATAGTTCTAATCTATAAATTATTGAAGATTATACTATGCAGTAAAAACCATGGGAACTATATCTTTATCCCGATTCGTTTCCCTGCTAAAATTTTCGGAAATGCTACCGTCGTTATGTTTTTAAATATATTTCTTTTAAATATGTGACTTTAGTTATTTTTACGAATCTCTGATATATTTAAAAATTCTTTAAACTATTTCTATAATTTTTAATGATTGGGTGTTGAACTCATACAATATTTTACTGCCTAGCCCACACTTAGGGGTTGTGGAATTGCATCAGCTACTGCCTACCTGAATGGAGTCAAACTACATAACTTTCATAAAGCATCAACATTATTATCATTATATCTCTCAATATTTCTCATATCTGCAGCTAACATGCCTGGAGGTAGGGTAAGTAAATTGGTTTATTGCAATTAAGTGATATTTTTTTTTGTATAAACCTATTAAATAGATTATTATTTCAGCTTTTTTTTTCAATGTTACTATTATTTTCTGTAAGTTTGTTTCCTGTAAATATTTATATATTACTCTGTTGTATTTTTTAATATTTTAGTTTCTTGTGTAGTTCAAATACTTGCGTGTTAATGAGTCAGGAGATAACATTATATTTGAAAAGTCGGTTGCAGACAAACTATTAAAGCTGATACTTATTAGTTTTTCGAGTTGATTGAATGGTCTAATATTATACTCTTGTAAGCCTCGTTATAGAGTAATTTATATGGGAAAGAACGAAGGTACCATACTCTGCCGGGCTGTGGTAGTGATGAATAATGGATCGGACAGGATCGGCAAAAGGTAAAGGAATGGAGCTTTCATTTCAGTTAAGTAGACGTAATCCGTCATATTTTAAATCAAATGTTTAACAATCTACAATCCTAACGTTCATATAGAAAAGAAGCCCTTGTATTATAATGGTATATATGTATACCTAGCCCTGACATAAATATCGTTAGAAGGAAATATAAACTGATTTCAACAGAAAAATGATTTTTTTCAAAAATTGTATTGTGAAATGAAATGTATATCTATACAGAGTAAAAAAAATAATTACGCAAAATGTATTCGTTTTGCCTTGACACAGACATTTAATCTCCGTGGCCAGACATCAATAGTAGCACGCAGACTTTCTTGAGGAAAGCGCTCAACTGCTCAGACCAGAGATTGTTTGAATCTTTCCAAGTTAGAGGGTGCTCTGTGGCAAGCCATCCTCTCCAGTTCGAGCCAAAGCGGATAATCTAGTAGATTGAGATCAGGGTTTCCTGGCCAATCCGAGGAAGAGATGAATTCTGGAATGTTTTTTTGCAGCCACCACTGAGTTAACCTGTCCTCGTGAGCTGGAGCGGAATCCTGCTGGAAAACCCAATGACTTCCAGCAAACAGAGTATCATTTAGATACATGACAACAGGTTCTAAAATATCGTCCTGATAGATTTTAGCGGCTGTTTTAACTCCTTTTTTCACAAAAATGGAGTTTTGTAGGCCCATCAAAGCAAACTCCCCTCCAAACCATACTGAGGAAAAAAACCTCTTTCCACTCATCCAGTGACTTCCTGGGCTTTTTTAGAGCTGTTTGCCAACACACGATAATTTCGATGATTGAATTATTCTTCAATTATAAATTTTTTCTCATCGCTAAAAATCTTTCGATGGACCATTGGTGTAACAACCAAGGAGCACTTTACATCTATCCACTCTATTTTTTTTAGAGAAGTGATTTGCCTTTGTCCGGCCATTCTTGGAAATGCACCCATCCTAAGGTCACTTTTTATAATGCGAGACATTGATCTGACAGAGATCCCCATTTCCCGAGACAAGATTTGTTGTTTTCGAATGGGATTTCTTCTGATTCGTGCTCACAATTACCACTGCTCTACATTTTCCAACTATGTGTAAGGCGATCATAGCTATTAGGTTTTCTTTGTCTCCTCACTTCATGTTAACTGAGTGAAAGAAAAATATATGTGCTGGTGGACGGTGCTGAGACTGTCGGTATGTCCCTGGCATGAGGTTTCTGAGCTATATTTTAAAAATTTGAAGAGGATCCCATTGTTAACTTGTAAGCTAATGAAGATTTAGTAGTTTATTGAATAATTAATAAGTGACCTTATTCCTAATTAAATAGTTATGTTTAAATTTAATACTCAAAGGTCGATTAAAGAAAAGTTGTATATATATAAATACAGATATAATGTTACACCTTATCTCGCCTTTATTAATTATCTGTATATTATTTACCGAATTGTCTTGGTGTATAAAATCCCTGAAGGGAAGAGCTAATATTCAACTAAATTTAAAGATAAAGTTGAAAACTAAATTTTATTAATAGGACAGACGAAGAAGCTACAACAAAATATTTTATATGAAATAATTACTAATTAGATATTAACAAGGAGTATTGGCTTAAGGAGAGCTGAAATCAATGACTTCCGCTAAATAAAATAATATATTTTAAAGAACATAAAAAATTAGACCCAACACAATGAAACTTTTATAAATTATGCTAATCTATACGAATAACCAGTCTTAGAGACGGATAATCCGGGCGCCCACCACTTCTTAAGAATTTAAAAATATATTATAATATTCATATTTATTTGATAGCTTCCTGAATTCCGTTCAAAAGAAATTTAAAATATCATCGAATCATTTCCGAAATGAAACAACTTTTAGCGGCCGTAGGCGTAAAGTTGGTTAGAATATATTTTAAGGAGAAAGAATGTTGGCATATGTATCTCACAGCTTGATAAAGCTTCAAATAAGAATTTTCATGCAATCGAAAAATAAAAAAAATTAGTATCAAATTTTCGCCAAATCAGCCTAAACGTTATTGATATGGTTTTCAAGTTTTTTACGAGATTGACGAGCTTTAGTATTATCAATAAATGAAAATTGGAAACAGTGTATATAGATAACAATATAAATGTTAGATTGTTCAAAACGTACCCTGCTGAGGTAAATGACATTTAAACTATTCGTCTACATTGCCTGTCAGGAGTGTAGTGATTTTTTCAGATTTCTTGATTGCTTTAAAAGGTTTAGCGAACATGAATTCCGTTCATTCAGGAATCCAATGAATTCTGAAAATAGGAAAATATACAAATGATAATGAGGAAATTAGTTGATTACAGATGGGGACCTAGACATGTCCCCTAAAATCAAAGGGAGGGATGGTATATGACTGTAAACTATTTGACGGACAGCGATTTGAATTAGTAAAAAATATAATAAAAAAAAATTAAAAATATACTGAGACGGAACAGATTCGTTTTCGGAATTCAAAGCAGACTTTCTTAAATTTATTATAACTCACGACTTTGACGTACTGACTAAGGATGGATAGTTGATTATTTTCTGTTTTTACTTGAAGTGAGCAGTTGGTGAATGTTTCTTACTCAACTGTCATATTTTCTCTTATTTTTTTTAGTTTTTAGTTATAATAATTTTTGTCTATGTCATTTTTTAATATCAGTTCTATGTAAAACTAATCTAATTTCATGCAGATGATGAATCAAATAAAAATTCTTTATGTGGGGTTGCCACATAATGGAAAAAAAAAAAAAGAAATCATTCAAATCATGCAAACTTAGATATATTGATATAAATGAACATATACATTTTATAACTCTTTTAGATATTATTTTCATGTAGGAAGAATTGGTAATATACCTTGGAGCTCTGTCTGGAGCGTTTATAACCAGAGCGAGGATTCCATTCACGAATATAAGACCTTTCCTAAGCGTATCAAGTCGAATCAACATGAGAACCCTTGTAGCGGCAGGGACTGCAGCAGGAGGATCAATCGCTTTTGGGACACCGATAGGTAATTTACTGATTTGTGCATTATTAATTGATAAGGATTCAACAAGCACAGTATGTCAACAGCAGCATGTCAGAGGCGACTAACGGGAACCAAATGAGTAGCCTCCCAAGACCAACTGATAACTATGTTTAAAGCGCATGTGAAACTTGCATAGAGTATGGAAATGAGCTGATTGTGAATATTTCTTACTCAACAGTTAAAAACCTTGATATAGTCCTGAATCAAGCTTTATTAATTAAGCTTTGTTAATTAATAGAGGTTATGAAATGTCACTTAATGGCTGTTTTGCAATGAACTAACGATATATTTTTTGTTTTTCATATGTTTTTTAACCTTATAGGAGTTTTAACTTTTCGAAAGAATCCAGCAGGTCGTTCCTAAACTCATCATAAATTACTCTTCATGGGAGCTGGATTCCATTGATAGATGGATGCTTGGATTGAATTTTCGCTGTGTTTAGTCCGATTTGTCCGATTTTTCTACTCCTGAATATTTCTGATCTCTCTCTCTTTTTTTTTTCCCACCCATCCAAGCCATTTCTGGCATATGGGTTCATAAATAAGACGGCCGCCTTGTATAGTAGAAGTAGTCCAGTCAATGAATGATTATAGAAGGAAATGGCGGGGACACAATTTTTGACTTTGGGACATTGTTTGGACTAGCATTGCCGGTATGTACTAAAGAGGCATCGAATGAAATAAAATAAACCAGCTCTGAATTTAACATAATTTATGAATAAATGTTTAAAATCTAAAGAAAAATAACATTATTTTTCTCACGAAGAATCTTTAGAAACTTAGAATTCCACGCGCTGCTGTGGCTTAGCTTGGCAAAATGGAAAAGAAAGAACATAGAAAGCATAGATGAGTAGATTAACACCAAAGGACATCTGTCATTTTTAAAAAGTTGGGAAACTATTTAATCTGTAAAATGGCTTCAATTAAATCTACTTCTAATGATTTTTTTTTCATGATACTATTTAATTTTCAACTTTGTGTCGATCATTTTATGGCAAACAAAAATGTAAATGTTTGGTTGTTTAAACTCTTATAATTCAAAAAGTTCTTCACCCATTGCCTTGAAATTTTGGCTTAAATACGGGCGTGGTTTAATATATCTATTATTATAGAATAAAAGGTGAAACTATGGGTGATAAATATTCAGGACGCAGTCTTTTTAAATTTTTTTTTATTTTTGCCAACGTTTCAACCCAAATATGTGGGTCATCTTCAGGGCTGAAAATGTTTTTTTTTTAAATACAATCAGAGATATAATAGTATACGACCGCTAATTATAAATAATAAACTATAGTGATTGATGGCACATGAATCTTAACTAATATTGTAATACACATATTAAAATAGTTATACAAACTAAAAATAAAAAACTTTGTGTTATATTAAGGATTACATAGGCTATTGTTTCAGGAGGCGGAAAATATTTGAATATGTATTGCAGATCTTTTCTTTGTCTACTTTATGGTTTACCGGATTATTTTTTTCCAAATTAATGAATATAGATTCCGATAGTAGTCGTTTTTGGTGATTGGGAACTGTGGCGAGTATGGTTGGGTTTTCGAAATCAAATGTGTTGTTTCGGGTTATGGCGTGTTCCGCTAGTTTTGAGGCAAACGGGTTTCGTGTGGAGATGCTATCTATATTTATGTTGATAGATTCGTTTTTTTAAATAGTTTTTGGTTCCTCCTATATAAGAAGAATTACAGTTTGGGCTAGAGCATGTGATATGATATACAATATTTGATTGTTGTAGGAGCGGAACAGGATCTTTGAGTTTGGTGTATAGATTTCTTAGTCTACTATTATTTTTACAGGTGAAACTATATATATTTATTAAAAACGCACCATCAGTTGGATGCAAAAGCAACACATGAGGTTCAAAATATTTTACGATTCTGTTTCAATGTTAAAGATTTTCAAATATCAATCGTGACAATGCATTGAAATTGCGCTATACCATTTATTATAGGGTTCATTTCGTGTGCATTAGAGCTGGCTTCCACTATCCTCAAAAGATTTCGCATACCCCTCCTAAGATAGTTGATCGCTTGCTTCTTCTTAATAACAACTTCATTAAATATAGAGTTATAAAAATTGTAGTGGAAAAATAAACCATACTCATGAAAGAAATCCTACGGTAAATGGCACTACCTTATTCCAACATAATGTTAGAGAAAAGAATTTATTTAAAAAATAAAATAAACTGAAATCAATAAAAAATTGAGTAATAATAAGTATTACTCAAGAGTTAAATCTTTTTAAATAATAGCAAATCAAATATTTAAAATGTGTCATACAACTTCCAGAATACATTGGGAGGAAAATATAAAATGAGTATAAAGAGCGTGTAATAGTATTTACCTAAATAAGGAGAATCATATCACTTCTGCAAATGATGATTTCAATTACTGTAGTAATTATCAAATTTTTGATGAATAAATAACATTAAAAAAAAGAAGAAAGGAAATGGACTTTTCTTAAGAGAAAATGTTTAAAACTCTATAACTCAGCAATGAATCGTCAGATTTCGATGATTTTTTTTTTTTTTATTTTGTAGGCGATTCAGAAATCTTTCAAATTCATAGGGTATTATTGATCAACAATTGTGTACTTTTTTTTAGCTACGTTATCGGCAAATAAAATATTGAATTCATCGTAACATCTTTTCAGCTTGATTCCGGGAAAGTATGTTATACACATAAATTAAAAGGGTTTCAAGCGAAAGACATTAGCCAAGTTTCTTTAAAATAGTTAAAGCTGTAATGCCGTAAATTTATAGCGACACTTTTTTTTTTTCAGCTTTGAACAAAAAACATTCACATTATTATTTTTTTTTACATATATAAAATTATTGAAAGACAGAGCTACTATGCCAGAAATCTTCCCAGGAGTGTACGGTACAACTTCCCAAAGTTTCGGATGAATGGTTTAGTAATGCATAAAGGACAAACAGATAGACATACATTCATTTATATAAATATAGATTTAGATTATAAATAGCTATGTTCTTGTTCGTGTGAAGATTTATTTATTTGTATTTCTGTTTTATAAGAAAATTAATAAATAAAAAAACTAAAGATTTCTTGGTTTATATCTTAATACAAACTACAAATTTTATAAATATAAATTATAATTAACCCTTTACTTATTTATTATTTAGGATGTTAATTTTGTGTACTTTAATACTTTATAGCAAGTTCATTACGCCAGATTGGTTAACATTGATGAAAATAACAGTTGTATTTCTTTTTCATATATTTCTCCATAGATAAGCCATTAGATCAGACACCATTGTTATGTTTCTTCAACAATATTCTATTGTATTCAATAATTTTAGGTGCTGTACTGTTTTGCTTAGAAGAAGGTTTAAGTTTTTGGAGCCCGGAACTTACAACTATGATGTTTCTATGTACTATTTGTTCAAATTTCGTTCTACACTTGTTTTATACTCTTTATCGCCGTGGTAAAGGTATGTATAATATATAATAAAGATAAAGTAAAGTAAAAGTCCACATCCTATAGAAAAAATATCCACCGCCAATTTGTTTATGTTTCGAAGGCTCATTACTTCATAGAATGGCATGAAATTCCGAAAAAGGTTTTTAGATGATTTAATTATTATATTTATATTACTTTCTCTTTTAATAATGAATAAGAAGAGACGTGCTCTAATGTTTCGGGTTCGAGTTTGGCTGTAGTAATTAATTATTTAGTCGGTTACATGAGGCATGGAAGACTTATCATGGAACAAAACCAGGCTCTATAAAATGGGTACTCTTAATTAAATAATTAATTAAGAGGAAAACCTGGCAGATGAGTGTGACCTCTGTCAAATAACGCCCTTTCTCAACCAATAAACCGTACTTTTTTACAAAGCACTGTACCTAAGATTATTTTTGGGTTCTGGTTTTACATTTTTTTATTTTTGTATATTTTAAAAATAATAAATACATATATTAAAGCAATTGAACATTTAAGGAGTGATATATCATACAACATAAGATGGTCAATCTTGTAATTACATTTTTACTATACTCCGGCTTGGAAGCGTTATAAAAAATTAGATAATGAAATAACATTTTTTTTTTTTTTAAATGATTCGTCCAATTTGGAAGAAAGTTGGTGACTAGTGTCGCAACTATTCCATTCATCAAATTCCAAAAGATATTCAAATGTTTTACTTCTGTTGGAAGTTGTTATTGACTCAAGAAGAGTACTGGAAGTTGATGGGTTAGCATAGTGATCAGGTAGCAGAGCGGGTTAACGCTTATGCACATCATCGTGTTTTGCCCTGCAATCTGATAACCAAAGTTTGATTTAGAAAAATAATTACGAGTTCAAATCCCAGTGCCCAGTTGTACTTTTAACTATGTAAAACTTCCCCGCCCTCTCCCCAGACCCGGGGAAAATCCCTTGTAGCCTTAAGGCAAGGATGGAGAGACAAAAAAAAATGTAGCACTTGGTATATATTGTCAACAGTATAATTTGTTTTTTATATGGCGATGTATCAAAAATAATGTTTATCTCTGGTAGTGAGTGCAAGTCGGATAGAGCATTATGCCAAATGGAAGGATTGTAGTAGATCCGGATTTTCAATCCCTTCACTCTTATTGTTAATAGTAATGAATAACAATTTTTTTTTTCAGATTTTTCTTATGAAATCATGCCATATCTATTTTTTTCTGGAGCTAGGCACATATCCCTAACATATGAATTTTCTGAAATACCGTTGTTTATATTAATGGGGATCATAGGTGGCCTATTGGGATCTTTTTGGAATGAAGGACAAATTATTCTTCGTAGGTGGAGAAATAAGTAAATATTGCTTTAAAATTATATTAATAATGAACCAGAAACCCAAAAGTAACTTTACTTTGTTATTCAGCAATATTAAAACAAAAACGCTAAGATATCTGGAAGTTGCCATACTTGGATTATGTTTATCATTATGCGGTATTTTGACTTTTCATTATTTTGGAGCGGAATGCACTCAGAAAATAGAAAAAGAGGATCGGGAAGCGAGAAGCAGTCATATGAAGGCATCAGTTAATTTTTTTTTAATACATTTTAAACAAATTGATCTAATCAGTAGTTGGTAATTTTAAGAAGAAATGATAAAATTTAGGTAAGAAGAGATGAAAATATAACATATTAGTAAAAAAGTGTATTTGTTCATAAATTCATTGTTCTGTTATGATTGAAAAGTGTTATAGATAATATGGTCTCTATATTATTTGTTTAAAGTTCTTTATTTGCTGGACGTTTCAAGCTTTTTTCCCATTTTCTTTTAAAGAAATGAGTACAGATGGATTTAAAAACATTTTATGAATCGTTTCCAATAATAATAAAATATATCTAAGAGGTGTGAATTTTTTTGCAGAGACTAAATAAAGGTTGACAGTTGATATTGTCACAAAGAAGTTCAAACTTCAGGAACTAATTCAGTACCTCACAATGATACCTTTTTTTTTTATCCTATTCTTCCTCGACTTTTGGCTATACGGTTTTTTTTTTCCTGGTCCAGAGTATAGGGTGGAAGATTAATGCCAGAGTTAAAAGTTCTTTCATCGGCATCGGGACAGTAATTATTTTATTTTGTTACAACTTCTGTTTCTCAGGTAGTTTTGCACGCGTTAATCTGCTCGGGCACCTCAATCACAATAATGTCCAACAAAACGCTATCAAATATCAGTTCTTAAGAATTACTGACAATAAGTGAATATTGCGATTGTGGTTCAGCAATAAGGTTCTTACACACTGGAAAAATGGTCCCTTATAAATCGTATGGCGCTAACGCCGAATAGGTCCAATTTAATCATTGCATCTCTCTCTTAATATTTTGTATTATTATAAAGCGCATAATATTGACAATCATTAACTGTTAACAATTGTCGTAAGCCGTAAATGCATTACAGTAAAATAAATAAATAAAACAATGATAAAACGTCAATATTGGTTTTATTACAATAATAAGTTTTTTTTTGTATAAAAAAAAGTAAATAATAATAGAGATGCCAATTTTTTTTTAGACAACACAAAGCAGACCATTTTGGCCGAAACTGAGATTTCGATTAGGTTTGGTAGTTTCCCAAGCTGTATTTTATGCTAGTTAGCTTCATTCCTCACCCAGCTGTACTAAACACTGTTTACCTTCATTGGCATAAATATTTTCAACATAGAGCTATTTCCCCAATGAAGATTATTTATACAAGCAAGCTGGATATCGTCAAACGGTGAAAAATCAGTTTTCATTACCATTTTGAAAACAAAAGATGAAAATGAGTTGTCCACTTTCAGTAGCAAACTCCTCAATTTCAAAGTGTCGCTATTATATGTTGTTGCATGTGATTAGAAGTTTATGTGAATTCAAACAATTACTTGACACGCAAAACATATAAATCAATAAAAACAGCGTGTTACTATAGACATATAATATTTTTGTATTTTGATGTGATATCATTATCAATTCTTGAGATTATAATTCAACTCACAGATAGAGCTTCATTTTTCTTTTCGATTGTAGATTTGTAATACTTTTTTATTCCAGGAAGTGAAACATTGCTAAACTTATGTATGTATTTATTTGTATATTAATAAGTTGCTGTTTTTCTTTGTTATGAAATTCTGTAATGAACAAAGTATTTATGTTATTTTAGCCATGTAATTCATCATTCAGAATTAGTTGTCAGATTTATTTGTGAAAAATTTGTGATTTTGCTTTATTGTGGCCATTCTGTTTCTAATAAAATCTAATCAGTAATCATAAACAAGGCTTACAATATTGTTGCAGCTTCCTTACGTAAATTCTCTGTTTTTTAAAATATATAATTATTTTTCCAAAGTGAAGTTTGATAAGGTATGAACCCTGTTCTCAGGTATATTGCAAAGAGGATGATGAATTTGAATCAGTCACCATATATTTGTTCCAGGACTTAAGGCATACCATCAAGTCTTTATTGGTAATACATAAAGGTGATTAATACGTTTTCTATAATATCTTGCATACGTAGTCTCAATTACAAAATAATTTAGAGATGGGTAAGTAGTCGACTGATAAATTATAAGGTTGAAACATAAATTGTCAGGAATTTCAGTCATAATTTTTACATTCTCTTAACTATGTATGAAATATATAATGAGGAAAAGTATTACAATCGTGAACATTTTAAAATCTGAGTTTTCAACGGAAATAGAAATTTTGAGGTCACTTGAGTCCAAATAACCAAGTCCCACAAAATGGTCTGTGTTTGTGTGTGTAGCTGAAAAACGAAAAGTCGTACGAAAGTACATATTTCAATTTTTTATAGACTTGGGATGTTAGAGCAGCTTTTTCCTAAAAATCTTCTAACCGGAAGTGCCTGTTTACTTCAACGATTTGACACATTTTTACAATTTCCTCTTAAATGGCTTCAATGATTTTGATTGAACTCGGTGTATCAGTGTATAATAAAGTGGTCTTTTATGTCATTCAGATCTTATCCCCATGGATGTCGCTTAACAGAGCTTAAATGCCCAATGTTCAAAATGTCTTCCTCTAAAGCGCGGACGGATCTACCGGGGGAGGAAGGCTTTGGGACTGAAGCTCCCCCTCCCCCAAAATGGTAAAATATATTAATGATGTTTTATGAAAAAAAAAATTATCTCTTAAAGTATTATTGTTCGTGTAATTAAATTAAAAAGGACTTTAGAGATCACTTAAACACAATTTCATATAGGTAGATAGTTTCTTTCTTTTTTTCCAAAGTAATTATCGTTATTTTTGTGAAAAAAGAAGCTTTCGGGCTGAAGCTCCGGAAAATAAAATCCTGAATCCACTAGTGCTCTAAAGTACCATTAATATGATTTATTTTAAATAATGAACTATCTCTCATTGTCACCAGTTATGAAGAAAGGATGAATATAACTTTTGAATGAATTTGATAATTGAATAAAGGAGAAAAAAGAATTATGCTTATTTAGGTCGATAATGAATTTCCGGAAATAATAGTCAGAAGGTATATCATTAGAAAAAGGAGAATTTCAGAAAAAAAAAAACATTATCGATTATAGAAAGTCGTAGAAGGAACGAAGAGTGATGAAAAAATTATAAATAATAATGTGTGAAAACTAAAATTATTTAACGGAAACCATATAATGTTCGATTGGAAAACTATATAAAATTCACCAAATAAAGGCAATGGCATTGTTAAAAATCTGTAATCTGTTAAAAAGTTGTGTGATGTGCGCACACGAAATCTCGTGCAATCTGTTATTATTGGGTTAGCCGACGTTTCGACCCAAACATCCTCAGGGCTATCGTTAGTCAAGAATTCAACTTATTGTCTCAATTTCCGATAGCCCTCAGAATGATGCACATATTTGGGTTGAAGCGTCGGTTAGCCCAATAATATAAAATCCAAACTGATATTCTTGAAAATTTATGTTTCATCCCAATAAAATAATTCTTTGTAAAATTATCCTAATTTTCCCCACTTCAGGCATCTTATCAGTGATATTAACTGATTTTACAACATATTAGGAATTTTGAAACTTGGAAACTTGAAAAATATACATAAAATTTCGCAGAGGACTTGCTAGTAGATAGTAGCCCATTTATAAAACCAACAATAGCATTAAAAAGAAATTATCCAGACAAAAATACATACATAATGTAAACGAAACTAACTTGCTAATAACAGTGCATCGCTTTGCATATCTACTCCTTGTACGCCCTAGTACGGACAACGCTGAGGTTTAGGAAAAGATTATCCTGAATTATCTTCGGATATTCTGTGTCGAGCACTAGGTAGGCAAACAGGATTTCAAGCTCAGCTCAGTTCACCAACTCATGAAGCTGCAGCATGAAGTAAACACAAATTTTTTTATTATTATTTTTTTTTGTAGCTATTTATTAATCACTTAAAACGCTTGTTGAGAAACTACCCACAGGTTAGCACTCTAATAATATGTCTACATAAGGAGATCACGAGGCTATCTTCTTTTCAGACGCCTCGGGGGTTATTAGGAATCGAAGAGGAAGCAAGGTTAGAAAGAAGAGGATTCGGATGGTTATGAAGTTTATTATGGAAGGATAGGTATCTGGATTGGGCCAAATCGGAGACATATGGAAAATGAAGGTCATTATGGATTATTTTATTGGTGACAAAGTAAGGAGCATTGAGGATTTTACGAAGGATTTTGAATTGTAAGGATTGGATACTAGGGGAATTAGTGGAGCCCCATAGCTCAACTCCATGAGTCCAAATAGATCTTATTATAGTCATTTATATTAGTCTTTTTTAATTAATAGAAAGTTTAGACCGTTGTTTGTCTAGTAAGAGTTGGAGTAAGCGGAAACGTCGAGCAGTTTCTTGTCGTTTCAGTCTTATATGAGAATTCAAACTTAGACGTTTGTCCAGGTGTAGTCCAAGATATCGTATTTGTTCAACAGGGATAAGTGGGGTGTTATTAAAGGATACTGTAGGACAGGAAGTCATAGGTTTACGATAAAAAACACAAACTTCAATCAAAATATGGCAACGACCATTTTGTGTCTCTATTGATTGAAAAAAAAAGCTTTCAACTTTGTGTCTCACAGTATTCTATATCGTAAGCTCAGAGATTTAAAGTGCCCGGAGCAACTATATATGATTATTGCGTCTTTCCTCAAGAAAAGAAGTCTCTCGGTGCAAGTTCAAGATGAACATCCCAACAGAGTTTCCTCAACGTGTGTTATGCCAGTCCTCTCTCCAGTGCTGTCCTCAAAATATATAGCAGATGTAGTTGGCGAGAACTATTTATAAGATTATATTACTTATATAAACTACTTATAATAGCTACCGTCATTGCCTGACGCAGATGACATGGTCATTTACATTCGCATTGTCAGCCCCCAAAAAACACTACCACAAGCCAAACACACTTGCAATGAGATCAACAGCTGAAAATCTGAACACCCCCACACCAATGACTATAATAAGACCTATTTGGACTCATGGAGTTGAGCTATGGGGCTCCACTAATTATCCTCGCATCCAATCCTTACAATCCAAAATCCTTCGTAAAATCCTCAATGCTCCTTACTTTGTCACCAATAAAATAACCCATAATGACCTTAATGTTCCACATGTCTCCGATTTGGTCCAATCCAGATACCTATCCTTCCATAATAAACTGCTGAGAGTTCAGCGCAAGACAAAAAAACATCAAATTCCTTAGTGTACCTGGGAATAACTCTGGACGGACATCTCCTTCAACTTCTTCCTCCTACACGATTCCCCTTCTAAGCTGGCGCACCGTACAGTTTGTCTTTCAATCTACATGAGCCAAATAAACTTCCTCAACAAATATTTCCTAATACTTCATTTAATATAAATTTCCAGCGAGAAGGGCCAAGGACGAAATTCATGAAATAACTTTTCACTCTAAGGATCTTCTACTTCAAATAAACTATTCTGTATTTTCAATGTGTGCTCCTGGAGATTGCTCATACAATTTTCTGGGAGCCACATAATTGTACGACTGCTGATGTACGCTTGGCCACTAAATATTAATGAAGGATAAGTCAAAACACTTCATAATTATCTGTTCTCTCATCAACGTCACGGGTCACTCACGGGTATCTGTGGTTCCCCAGCTTCCAGCGCTTCCGCACAACCCTTGATGACTCCTGCCTGAAAAGACTATCCATATTCTAGTAATTAGCATGTTTTAAATTAATTTGTACCAATACATTTTGTACATATTGATCTCTTTGTACTCATAATTAGTGATTAGTGAACTCAGTACAAAATCAGTGCTAGCATTTGAGCAAATTACTCAGTAATCAATATTTCTTACTTTTTCCCATCAATACTTAGTAATTTTTCCCAATTTCAATTATTTATTCAACTAAGTAATATGTGATTTTTTTTCAGAGTTAATAAGTTTCTCAGTTGTATTATTTGGTGGCATTTACTACTATGTTTTTTCTGGACTTCAGTTAGGAACGTATCTTCCCAGTGGAATACTTATTCCACATTTGATATGTGGAGCAAGTTGGGGTTATTTAGTTGGTATTTGGTACAGTCAAGCATCAGTAGTAAGTTTGTGGTAATTATTTAAATAGGTTTGTAAGAAATTATTAAAGTAAATATTTATATAAACGGTATTTTCAAGGCAGGAAATATTATTGTTTCAAAATACGCTTTCCTTGGAGCAGTCGCCCAAGGAAGTGGAGTCGCTCGGCTTACTTTAAGTTTGGGAATAATAATGATTGAAAGCTGTGGACAACAAATTTTCTCTCTTCCGATCTTTATCATAGTTATAACTGCTAAATGGTTTGGTGGAATATTTTCTAGAGTAAGTAAGATTTTTTTATCACTCTTTTCTAACTGTTTATAAATATACCACTATTTATGGTGGTTCCGTTCATTAAATTGAACTATTTATTGCATAGTAACACTCAATTGAAAAATTATAAAAAAAAAAGTTTTAACAATATGTATTCCAATGAACAGCTACAGTTGCCCCTCATTACTACACTCTTGCTTATGCAATGGTTTAAGAGTAACGTTAGTCAATTCCTGGCTCCAATCTCCGATTAATCTTAAAATTAAATAATGACATTACAATATGTTTGGTTCAACAGATGGTAGAATAAAAACTAATTTATTGCAATTAATACCTTCATGGCTACTCATTTTTTTTTTGCAATCAATCAAGTTTAATTCCTGTTTTATATTTGGTGATTTTTGTTTACCATTAACAAGAGCAAGAAAGATACATCATAAACTGAATCGAAAGTCAAAATAACACTCCAATTATCAACATGTAGGTTATTTCACTAATGGGAGTATAGAGGAGAGAACTCTTTAAGTTTCAACCATCAACGTTCTATAAAAGCTAATCTAGCATCTACGTCTAAACATTAAAAAAATACTGTTGTGTTTTCTGAAATTTTCTCAAGCATTTGCCTGCCATTTTCTCATTTTTTTTGCTAAATCTTACTTTCACTTACCTATATATAAAGTGTATAGCAAGTGAAGGTTTCCAATCATGAAAAAATTCCATGTAAAATATATTTATTTATCCACCTTTTTTTAGGTCTAGGGTTTCGAGATTGTCAAAATAACTAAGTCTCACAAAATGATCTGCGCGTCTATGTGATCAGCCTAGCTCAAAAACTAAAAATCTAGATAACTATGCAAACCATTACGGGCGGATCTACGGGGGAGGGGAGCTTTCGGGCTGAAGCCCCCCCAAAATGGAAAAATATAACCATGTTTTATGGGAAAAAAAAAATTTAAAAATACCTCTTACAGTATTATTGTTTGTGTAATTACATTTAAAAGTACTTAAGGAATAACTTAAACACCATTTCATATAGGTAGTTAGTTTCTTTCTGTTTTTCCAAAGTAATTATCGTTATTTTTATGAAAAAAAAAGGTTTCGGGCTGAAGCCCCCCCCCCAAAATTAAATCCTGGATCCGCTAGTGCAAATCATTATCATAACAAGTACTACAATTGAGTTATAACTATATAGTTTTTAAAGATGTTGTTTTTAGTTATTGCTTTATAATAGATTATTTGAAAATGGCCAGCAAATGCCAAAATGTATTATATATAAAATATCTTCTTGTTAAAACGATTTTTATTGTTGAAATATAACGTGGGGTTATTGCGGTCCTTTTAAAACCTTGACATTTTATTGATTGAATAGCTAAACTAAGATCACTCTAAAAATAACTTTATGTGAATGCATAATTTTTTTTAGCCAATATATCGCATAGAAACATATTTGGAAGGATATCCTTTCTTGCGTGTGACATATCTTCCAATAAGCACTCCTTACAAGGCAAAGCATATCATGATTTCTTCAATGGTATCTTTACCTCCACGTTTGACTGTTAAGGAACTGGTCGATGCACTTATATCAAAACATCAAGTTTTTCCTGTTTTAGAAAATGAAAAGGTAATTATTATTATTTTTTTTAAATATTAAAATGTCGGAATGCATGTTTATGGTTGTGTAATGTTAATAGCTTTATATAGAAAACTGTGAGTGTATATGAATAGCTGTGACTCTCAGTTTCACCCATGTTAATTATAGGCTATAAATGGAGAGTATATGACCAAGTATCTATGATTAACTGAATTATATTAATAATGTTTTGAAAAAAAAAAATTCTCTAAATGATACAGACCACTTTTTATAAAATTATTAACATTCATTTAAAACTTTCAGAGTTGCTTCATCTTATCGTAACCTACTTTTTTTATAGACGAAAAGTTCCTGAAATGGAGCTTTTTCAATATGAAATCGGTAAACTGTCTATTAAATAATGTATAAAAAGCTCATGAACACCCATTTGCTTTCTACTTGAATCTTGAAATCTGATCACAAAGTCGAGGAAAAAGGTGGCCTACCAAAATAATGGGTCGTTTGGCGTGATATCCACCTATTTTGTAGGTTACATGTTTTTCTCAATTTTGTGATCGAACTATCTTACGATTCGAACGGAAAGCAAATGAGTATTCATCAGGCTTCTGTATCTCATTAATATAACTAATTTAATGAGCAAACGTCCCATTTCTTAGAATTAGGCAGATAGAAAAGTTATAATCAGGATAAGATGAAGCAATTCACGAAGTTTGAGACAGTCGTTAATAATTTGATTTAAAAAAGGGTCTGTACAAATCAAAACGTCCAATAACTTAAAAACTATACAGATTTTCAACAGCTTTCCAATGGTAAACTCAATTTTGATAAGCTATTTGATCTGTAGAGATACTCAGGTCAGATGGTCTAAAAAGCTAGGTAAATTTAATTTTTTTTTCATTATTTTTCCTCCTACAATTATAATTTTACAAGAATGAAAAAGTGTCCAAAAAGGTAAAATCATACATAGAACCAATTTCTGGTTTCTGTGGAGTTGAAAAGAATTACAAAGTTCTTTATAATACCATTAATATTATAAAAATATAACTATTAAACAGAATAAAAGAACTTCATAATGATATGATTTGTTGACTGGTTAAAAATAGAATTAAAATGGTACTCATCTCCTAGGTTTCCTTCCTGATGAAGTTCTACGAAGTGGGTTAAAGCATTGTTAAAACGTTTAATAAATAGTTACCATTATTTGATACAATTTTTTGACTGATTTCATATTATTGCTTTCTTACTTTACATAAATAATCGATGCACCAAAAATTGAGATTTAAAAGAATAAATAATCATTGGTCAACGATAGCTTTATTTAGCCATAGATATAGTGACCAATAGGTTTACCACATCATCATTATTGTTACATAGAAAGCCATGGTTTCTGGTTTGTGAGGTTTTAAACAATTTCATTGGCATGTTATTAATTGATTTTAATCTTCATTTTTAAAATTTCATCTTCACCAATTTTTAAATTTCATAAAAATATTTACAATTTTGTCCAGCAAGTGGATTTGAAGATACCAAATTGCATGAAAGATTCTGAAAATTGGAGCTAACAACAAAGCAGCTTTTTAAAATGTTGTTCTTTTTGTAGGAGCCTTAAATATAAGATCCACAGACCCATACCATGACAAAAAAAATCTTGGTAGTCGTATTGTTATATATTTCTACGGTTTTTTGACCTCCTTATCTCAATATCTCTTCAAGACTAGTTTTGCAGTCGGATATAATTTTAATAGGTGATGCAATTAAGAAAATTTTTAGAAATCCACAAAGGGTTGTAGTTCCAAAATTCATTGCGAGGTTAGAATTTAACGTGATTGGATTTTTTTATAAAGAAAAATAATGTTGTTTTGTTAGAAAACCTTTTAAAATAACATACACCAACAAAGGATTTAGATTTTAATTTGTCGCTGATCACGGGCGGATCTACGGGGAGGAGCTTTCGGGCTGAAGCCCCCCCCCTCCCAAATTGTAAAATATAACGATGTTTTATGGAAAAATATTCAAAAATTATCTCTTAAAGTATTATCGTTCGTGTAATTACATTTAAAAGGACTGAAGGAATCACTTAAACACTATTTCATATAGATAGTTAGTTTCTTTCTTTTTTTTCCAAAGTAATTGTCGTCATTTTTATGAAAAAAAATCTTTCGGGCTGAAGCCCCTCCCCCAAAATTAAATCCTGGTTCCGCTAATATCGCTGATGGTACTGCATTTTTAACATACCACCCTTCTCTTAATTATTTATGACATTTTCTACTGGTATACCCTGTATTTTACCTAAAATGTTGATGTAAAACTATTAAATTTCATTGCGGAAGGGGGAGAATGCAAGAAGAGTGATAAAATAGACCTCTACTTTTAAAAAAATCCTAGTTTCAGACCTTTTTGAAACCACTTTATCATTAAGCAGTGCTCCCCTGGGGATGATTTTAGGTAGTTTTAACTAAGTTTATACAAATTTCCTATTTTAAAATATTTCTTATCTTTCGTTACAGTTTTTTGCTGTTTTACTGCATTCTGTGCATTCTAGTTAGATGATGCTGACCAATTTTGGTTTGTTATTTTCAATAATGAACCACTGTGATCGAACAAAAAATTCAAAAACCCTATCAAAATTTGAGGTTTCATGTTTCAGGATACGCAGAATTCGAAAAATGAATAAACATTTTTTTTTGTTCTTCCGCCGTCCGCACATTTTTTTCAAAACTATTGGACCGATTTTTTTTTTCAAATTTGGATTTTAAGTCAGAGTTAACTCGAGGATGATCCTCCTTCATCGACATTACTATCCGCCTTTTCCTTTCAAGATGGCTGCCGAAAAACCTGCGTTGCTGTGGACTATAGCGCCTAAACGAATCTACCGATTTCAATGAAATTTGGCTAAAGTCCTCTTCTCGATGCCCTTTAAATTTATTTATATAACACACTTCAAGGAAAAGAAGCTGGAAAAAAAGTTACGAGAGGTGGTCAAATTAGATTCTGAATAACTTCAAAATATGCATTTTTGTGTTGATATTGTATGTAGTTATTTAAAAGTTTAGAAAATTTCTTAAAAAACAAAAAACAGATCGTTAAAATCGGACAATTTGGAGTAAAGATATGGTCTCTAGATGTTTTTTAAATGTTCCACTGCAAATGTTATATCGTTTGTTTTGAATTTTGATTTTTGAATGTGTTAATGAAGTAATGTTATTTTTTTTTTAGAAAATTACTAATGATGAAAAGAAAAAGTTTTGGTCAATAATTGCAATCACCTTTTATTTCTTTTTCTTTATTACTAGGAAGGGAATGTTACTTTAGATGTATAATTGTTTCAAAATAATAAACCATTGTGAAATAATTTACAGCGTTTTTCATTTGACAGGGAGTTCCTATTCATTTTTTGATTTGGACTCTAAACTTAATTACAGGTTGTGGGTGTGGTCACGAAATATCAAATAGCTGTTATTTTGAAATCAAAAGTCTACAAATTTCCAGATAATATAGATAAGGAACATCTTATGAATGAAATGCTATTAGAATATGAAGGTGAAAGTTTTGTAGAATTAGAAGAGGTAAGTTTTATTAATTATTTACATTAAATTAAGAAAAACAAGTGTTACGACTATTTAGTTTAGTTTTAATGGTATTTCTTGTGTTTGGTCTCCTTTAAATCAACCCAAAAAAGAGATTGACTTTTTTTCCACTTTGAAAAAAGAGATGTCTTTTTATGACATTAAGAAGCTCTGAATCTAATAGTTGTAATCAAATTGTTGTATATAAGTGTATGTCTAACCTCATCAAAAGTTTTATATTTTAGTCCAAAGTTATGACGTATGAAATCATGACAAAAATGTTTAAAATTAATCTTAATGATGTTTTTGAATAAAATAATTATATATAATAAATAAGAACATTTTTTAAGTTTAAAATAAATTTGCTTTCTAGCCCTAGAACAACACAGTGAGGTGTGACATCCCATAACATTATTAATATTAATTTACTTTTATATTAGTAGCTCTTTGGCAAAGTTTTTTCATGTAAATAAACATCTTACATAGCCAGGCTAATTACGGTCATTAATGCTCCATTGTTGGGCTTAAATCATTATTTAATCAAGTAATCAAGTTAGGAGTAATCAAAAGTCATTATGGGGTATCCTACATCCCAGTGTGTTGTTGACGTGACTCTCCTGGGTGCCTCTCTTTCCTTTATGTTAGCATATAAAATGTATTCTCAAAGGTTATCTTGAATTTATTTATTTTTTCATTTCTCTGATTGTTTAGCTTATTTCTGAGTCTTCCAGAGCAAAACAATTAAATTTTATGTTAATTTAAAGTTTGAGGTGTACCACAACTCCGAGTGTCAGGATGAGTTAACGTATTGAAGTGTGTCGTTAGGGTTAATGTTTTGAATATTAAAACAAAAATATATTTAAAACTAATATAATTAACTAAATTAAAACTAATTACTAAAATGTTATTTAAAGTTCAGGAACAAACATTGAAATTAATAAATTTTATTAGAAACGAAAATTAATGTTAAATTTACATTAAAAAATTGATACATAACTAAAAATTATTTTCAGCGTTAGAAGAATAATTTAAGTGTTTACTTAACTGTGCATATCATGCACTTATAAATGCAATGATTGCTTTGGATCATTAGAAAACTCTCTGTTAGTTCTAAAAGTCTTTTTAATTTTTATGTTTAGTGAAAGATTATAGAACTTGATCCCTCGGTTAGTTCCTGGTTGGATTCTTTTAGCCCACAAGTATCCTTATTAATAGTCTTAAATCAAAGAGGAAATTTGATATCATTGCTTGTTGGAGATGTGGTACATAAGCAATAATTGGTATATATCAACATTATCCTTTTGATTGTATTTATAAAAATTATAATTTATTGGCTGATTGTATGGTTAATAAAGATACTCAGTGGCTGCTTAAAAATAGAATCGAATTGGCATTCTTCTCCTAAGTTTCCTACCTGATAAAGTTCTACAAATTGGATTACAACATTGGCGTTTAATAAATAGTTACCACTATTTGATACTATTTGTTGACTGACCCTATATTATATCTTTCTTACTTTCCATAAATAATTTAAGCATTGATGCCCCTAATGTTGAGATTGAGATCATTGGTCAACGGGTGCTTTATAAGTCAACAGATATAGAGACTTCAGTACATTTACCATATCATTATTATTATACAGAAAGCAATGATTTTTGGTTTTGAGGTTTTCACCAATTTCATTGGCATGTTGTTCATTGATTTTAAAATTTTAATCTTTATTCATTTATTAATCTTCATAATAATATTTACAAATTTTTCTCAGCAAGTGGATTTGAAGATCCAAATTGCATGAAAGATCTAAGATTTTCTTGCCGTGACTCATTTTAAAAAAATCATATCATGGTTGTGATTTATTCTTGTTTTCTCCACAGTAATACATGTACCACAATTCAACATACAAGATTACGATTATAGTAACTTTAATTAATCTTTTTTTTTGTCATGCATTGATAAAAGCAACATAAATATTCAATTTGAATTTGGTTTCAAAACTATTTCACAAATTATATTTGCATTCAATTTTGCATGGAAAATAAACCATAATTATTACTTCATTTATACTGAAATTAGATGTTGATTGATGAAATCAAAAAATTACTTTTTCTCTTGATGACTTTGTTTTTTATTTTTGAAATCAATATATATTTGAATGCTAGTTTCCCTCCCCCCATTTTTTTTGTTATATTTTGTCTATTTGAGCTTCAAAACAGACGAAAACAGGCAGTTGGGATGGTTTGATCATCTATGCAGAATGGATAAGGACTGTGATACAAAGACGTTTTTTAAAGCCAGGCTTACCGGATGCCATCCTCGAGGAAGACCTAGATTGCTATGGATGGACCACACCTCCAGGATTAGGGAAAAGAAAGCTATCAATTCAATGAAAGCACTAGCTCGAGATCAGGAGGCTTGGCAGCCCTGGATCGGGGTACCTCCACGCTGAGAGCACTAAGGAGGATGATAAAGAAGAAGAACTGATTTATTTGAAGCGTTTCAGGATTTTAATGTTTGAAACTTAAAAGATGATTTAATGTACATAACAATTTTTTTATAATATAAAATACAACTATAAAACAATGTATATTATTTATATGTCTGTGTCTCTATTGGTTTGTACTCTTTACGTCTTTCCCTCACTATAAAATACTTATTTATTATTATTTTTTAAGGTCATACATTCAGAAGATAGTATTCCTGATGCTTATGATAAAGTTGATCTCACTAACTTCATGAGTGCTTCAACTTATTTAATCAATTCGGTAAAAATGACTTATTATTGTTTATATTAATGCATATAAATAACTTAAATATTTAATTGAGACAAATTTTAGGTTTAGTCACTCATTATGGAAATACATTTAAGAAAATCTCTGCTACCTGCACCTCAGTAACTATGTTTGTTACCATGCCACATAAAGATTTTTACTATTCTGTATTACATTGAAAATGTGTCATTCATTTTTTTTTTTTTTTATAGTATTCCACTATCATAACATACTTACTAAACAAAATTGAGGAAATACATCACACAATTTTAACTAACCACTGCACTTTAAGTAGGAACTCTTTTTTGTTTATTAACAAAGTTTAAAAATATTACTTTAACAATAAATATAAATCAATGATAAGGAATAAAAAATAAGATAGTTCTGTGCATTATATATTTTAGGTTTGTTAAAATGAAAACAAATTTAAATTTTATTATTAAATGTTTCTATACAAAAACATTGTTAATAACAATGATCATTAATGATCTCGAGACAATTCAATTTATGATTCGTAATGAATTTTCTAAAAAAATAGACAATTTTGTTTTAAGGTCAGAACTTCAAAGTCTTCTGTTTTCACTATAGAGAATGACAGATAGAGAGATCGCAATAAATGACATAGCAGAAATGGAAGGTGCAAGAAGCATTAAATGACATAGAAACATGGTCAATAGAGAGTGGTTTTAGACTGTATGTGAACAAAACCAGAGCCATGCATTTCTGCAGACTGAGAGGGGTGCATACTCAACCCAAAACTTCGAAGGGGTGGAGGTGAAATTCCATTTGTTGACAGCTTTAAGTATTTGGGAATGCATTTGGATCGCCCACTTAGACAGACAATGCTTATTACAATACTCAAATAAGAGTGATTCAAAAGGCCTTCTCTGCTCAAATGTCTCACACGACCTGGGGAGCGGATAGAAAAAGTCTATTGAGTACCTATTATGCAACCATCAGAAGCAAATTGGATTATGGTTCTAGTGTTTACGGCTCTGCTTTAAACAAAACCTTAAGGATGTTAAATGTTGCACATAACTCTGCCCTAAGAATTTGTACTGGGGTATTGGCAACTTCTCCTGTAGAAAGCCTATGTGCCGAAGTGGATGAACCTCCTGTATATTTCAGAAGGTTATTTCTGACAATAAAGTATGGCCTTAAAATCAAGACCAACACAAGACATGTACTAAATAAAATATTATTCTGTAGCGAGCAAGTGGGTAATAGGAGGGAGAAAAACTTCGTAGAAGATCTTCTCGGTATCTTTCTGGAAATAAAAATAGAAAATATTCAGACTGTGCCGGATGTAATAATCCCCTGATGGACACCTCAATTGCTAGAAGTAAAAAAAGATATGCTACTTCCAATTAAAATACAAAAATTATTTTTAGAAAATCTAGAAAAATACAATGAGTATAACGTCTTGTAAAAGGTTGCCTCAAAAGCAGATAAGGAAGTAGGAGGCACGGTTTTTAATTCCGATATTCGCAAACTATTTACACTCCTAGAGGTCTGCTTAGTGTTTACTGATGAAATGGCAACTATAAGACAACCTGTTAAGTACATAGGAACGACTGAAACTACCAACTGGGCTGTGGTGACGGAATCAATGAGTTCACTACCAGCGATTGCAAATACTAGGCCAAAAAATACAGTAGCGAATGAGATAAGAAACATTTGGTGGCAAAACAGTATTGTTCATCTGGGTCTTATCACATTGCGGGTGCACCAGCAATGAACAAGCTATTCAAGCAGCCAATATGGCAAGAAATGCAGATTCAACTCTGGTAGAATCTATCAGTCAAATCCCTTTAGAGGACATCTTAAGAAAAATTAAAAAAGATATTTGAAAAATGTGGCAAAATAGTCAGTGGCAAAATAGTGGGAGGAAAAAGAGTCGAAATTGAGAGAAATAAAGACTCACTGTTCAAAATGGGAAATCGCCCATCGGTCCTCCAGGAAAGTAGAGACAGTACTCTGCAGACTAAGAATTGGATATTATGAGTTCTTAAACGCCTAATTACTAAGAGGACTTGATCCTCTGACCTGCAAAAACTGCAATGTCCATAGGACAGTAAAACACATTATACAAGATTGTACTGTATTTGAAAATGTTAGGAAAAAGTTGGACATGCCTCAAAGCCTAAAAGAAATCTTGAGTAACAGTGAAATAGCTGTTAAGAAAACATTTGAATTTTTAAAAACAATAAATTTCTATAACAGAGCGTAAATAAAAGGTATTGCCAATGACCCTACAAGGTAGAGGCAACAAATAAATAAATAAATAAAAATTTATGATCCAATATTACTGTGAGAATGAAAATCTAAACAAAAATTTAATAAATTTATATAAACCAATAATATTAATTATAATTTATTAATATATGACTGAACAAAAATGTATCCAATTTTTTGAGACACATCAAATATGGACAACAGAATCAATGCAACAGACAAAAAATACGTTATATATGAAATTCCATGCATACAGTGTCCTAAACACTGTATCGGTAAAACTGCTAGCACAATATGTCAAAAATAAATTTAAAAATAATCACTCATAAAAATGTTTCATTTTTTGAAGTGCACATAAAATTTGATGAAGAATGATGGTTTTTGGATTTGGACTAAAAATGAATAACAATAATATTATGTAATAGAAATATGTTTGGAATTATACAATTTTAGTTCTCACAGTAATATTGAATCATAAATTGAATTGTCACTAGATAATTAATGATCATTATTATTAACAATATTTTGAGACTTATTGTTATAGATAACTTGAAAATGAGCAAAGTAGCTCAAAACGTTGTTATATCTTGAATAAATAGTAAATTTATAAGGGCTTATCTATTCTTGAAGAAACCATATGTGATGGATACATTTATTTTTCCTAAAATGAAAAAAAATTGTAAAATCTGAAAAATTCGTTGCATTAATTCGATTATGATATTTTCCATGCACAACAAATTGTAAACTCTCTAAAAAAAAAAAAATTATCTGTCATGTTGATAGAAATTTTTACTTAGTTTTAGAAGATGTGAAAAGTACTTTTAGAGCACAAAGATGTAAAAAAAAAATGAAATAATAATTATAAATAAGATTTTTTGATGAATATAATTTCAATGAAAAATCTATATTCTTAAATGTGATTTTATATGTATATATATTTTTTATCTTAAAGCAAATAGTATTTGTTATTTTGTTTACAGGAGACATCTTTAAGAAAAATATATTTAATGTTTGTATCACTTGGACTTTCCTATGTAATTGTTATCGATGACAATTTCAATGTAAGAACAATCCCTTTATAGTTAAATATACATAATTATCGTTTTCTTTCATTTTCATTTTATAGGCTCAGGGAATAATCACAAGAAAGGATATAGCTTGTTTTAAAAAAATATCTCAATTCATGCTGATGAGAACTGAAGTCCTTCCTCTCAGGTGAAATATAGAAATAAGATGAATAACTTATTAAATAAATATACCACATTGTTCTTTATAATGGTTCTAATTTCATGTTTATTGAACATTTCAGGCATTGGTCTTCTCCCCTCACAGTTTAGTTTTATATTGCTTTTTTAAAAGAAAATTATCTTATTATTTATTTATGAGAACTGAAGTGTTTACATCTAATAAAAATAAAATTTAAAGCTTATGAAATCATGTCTCATTTGTATTTTTTTAAATTTTAATGTAGTTTTCATTGATTGACGTATTACAAACTAATATGATTGACTTAAAAAGTGATTAATAATACCCAAAAGTACTGAGAACAAAAATCTTTTATTTTATTTTTGTGTCCATCTCTTCCTCGCCTTTTAGGCTAAACGAGGAGGGTTTTTCCGGGCAGGGGGAAGGGTGGAGGATTAATTTCAGATTAAAAGATTCTCCCACCCGGCACCGGTACGTGACCTCCTTATTTGGAATGTAAGGATTGAATACGAGAAAAATTCTATGGTTTAATGAAGCCGCAAAGCTCTGAAAACGTGAGTTCTGTCATATGATATGATGCGAATCAAACAGCGAATCCCTTCGCCAACGGATTATGTCTAATTATTTATTTTTACATTCCGCATCTACCCGATCGGGTCATTAGCGGCTTTAGATGTAATCAAATTAGGTATACAAAATTTAATGTCGTTTATCATCCTGACGGTAGAGCACATGCCGGTACTGCAGTCATTGTGCACCAATCCCTCTCCCATCACCTACTCCCACTGCCTACACACGATTTCCTACAATCCACCGCAGTCGTAATCAAAACCTTCTCCTTTCCTATTACCGTTGCATCAGCGTATTGCCCTCCAAACCAATCCATCTCCAATATCCAATTTAGTTCCTTCCTCATTTCATTAGGACATCATTTCATCTTGGGTGCAGACTTAAACGCCAAGCATCAACAATGGGGTTCAAGAACCACGAATTCTCGTGGTCGAACATTGCTGTCTGTACTCAATTCCCAAAATTTTACCCTTCTTCCACCCAACTCACCTACCTACTGGCCCACTGATCCTAACCGTAATCCCGATATCCTCGATTTCTTTATCCATAATGGTTTAGGTGCTCTCAACCATTCCGTTGCCCGTCTTGACGAGCTTTCCTCAGACCACAGCCCATTAATACTCCAAGTATCACTAGCTCCTATTCCTAAACCCTCTCCTCCGTCCTTCATCAGAGGCCCAGTTAACTGGAAACTCTTTCATCAAATCCTCTCCGATAAAATTGACCTCAGAGTAACCCTGAAAACCTCTGAAGACCTGGACAATGCAGTACATTCCTTCACTACCAAAATTCAAGAAGCAGTCTGGACTGCTTCCTCCCCTGATCACTCCTCAAAAATCCTTAAGAAACATAATTTACCTCAACACCTCCTTGACCTAATCCACATAAAACGCCGTGCCAGATTATTATGGCAACGTACCAGACATCCAGCCGACCGCCACTCCTACAATTATCACTGTAAAAAATTAAAACAAGAGTTAGCCACCTTCAGATCCCAATCATTCAATTCCTACCTCACCACACTCTCTGCTCATGATAATTCTCTTTGGAATATCACCAGAAAAATCCTCAAATCCCATCATATTTCCCACCCTCTTCGACGAGATGATGGCTCCTGGGCAGCATCTGATGAAGATAAAGCCGAGGAATTTGCCAAACACCTTTCCTATACTTTCGCTCCTCATCCAGAATCCCATCCCAGCCACACAGTAAAAGTTGAAGAATCCCTCTCAATACCTATCCCACTCTCCTTACCACCTAAAGCTGTTAATCCCTCTGAGGTCAAATACCTTTTACGGAAAATCACACCTCGCAAATCTCCTGGATATGACCTTCTAACCCCACAGATCCTTCGACAACTTCCATCTAAAGCCATCATATTTCTTACATATATATACAATTGCATCCTACGAACTACCCACTTCCCTCTTTTATGGAAACATTCCACCATCGTCCTCTTCTTGAAACCAGGCAAACCTTCCAACAATACAGCATCCTATAGACCAATTAGCCTACTCCCAATCCTCTCAAAAATTTTTGAAAAGATCCTACTGAAACGAATCCTACCTATAATTGAATCCTATAACCTTCCTACTCATCAATTCGGATTTCGTTCCCAACATTCCACTGTCCAGCAAGGACTCCGAGTTGTTGACCATATATCCTCAACCCTAGAAAGCAAGCAGTATTGCTCGGGTGCATTTCTGGACATAGCGCAAGCTTTTGACCGGGTATGGCACGCCGGATTACTCTTCAAGCTTAAAATCCATCTACCACAGTCCTTATACCTAGTACTCCGATCCTATCTTTCCGACCGCTCCTTCCGAGTTCGCTGTGGCACCGAATTCTCCGACTGTTACTCAATTGAGGCTGGCGTTCCTCAAGGCAGCGTCTTGGGCCCCATCCTTTACATTCTCTTTACCGCTGATATTCCTGTCCATCCCGATACCCTCCTGGCAACTTTCGCTGATGACACTGCTATCCTTTCTTCCAACTCAGATCCTGAAACAGCGTCCGCAAACTTACAAAGGCACCTCTTCCTGATTGAACACTGGTGTAAGAAATGGCGCATTAAGGTAAACGAATCTAAATGTAAACACATTACCTTCACCCTTCGGCGTAATACCTGCCCACCAGTTTATTTTAACTCCATCCAGCTTCCTTTCTCAGATACAGTCCGGTATCTTGGCTTTCTCTTAGACAGACGACTAACATGGAATCCACATACTCGACTTAAAAGACAGGAACTTAACAGACGATATGGCCAGCTATATAGACTACTGAATAGAAAATCTAAACTTTCTGGTGAAAACAAATTACTGATCTACAAGACAATACTGAAACCCATCTGGACTTACGGACTAGAACTATGGGGAACAGCCAAATTTTCTAACATCAAACGCATTCAATCCTTTCAGTCTAAAGTCCTCCGTACAATAGTCAATGCTCCCTTCTATGTAACCAATAAAACCCTACACCATGACCTTAATATCCCATTTATTCTTGATCTTATCCCAGCCAAATTTTCCAAATTTCACCAGAACCTTTCTCATCACCCAAATCCCGTTGTACAATCCCTATCAAGCACCACCCATCCCTACAATCCCCTTCGTAGGTTAAAGCGGCAGTGGCCACGAGACCTTTTGTAAATATGGATATTTTGGAGTTCTAGCAATGGCCAGATTCTCCACTCAAGTCATGAGTGTCTGTGGCTGTAGCGCTCTTACTCATCCTCCGCTGGTTTAAAATACCAGTGAAGTGGCTGAGGGAGAAGCGTAGGGATCTCCTAAGCCTCCCTTTTCCCTCCACATGTGGAGGGGACAGGATTGGTTCGGAGATCACCTGGCAAATTGTAAATAATGTATGTTTTATATAAGGTGTTTGTTTTACTTTCATTTCTATTTTTATTTACTTATGTGTATATATATATATTTTCTTTTTCTTTACTCTTTTGTTCTTTCTTCTTATTCTTTTGTTATTACTTTATTTATTTATATTTTTGTATATACGGTATGAATGCAATCTCTGAACTCTATTATAAGTGTCCTTAACTGTGACAAATTGTAATATTTCTGAATAAAGTGTTTTAATAAGTAAATAAATGTCGTTTATAAATTCAAACACTTTTTGTATCTTTTCTTCGTCATCTGAAAGTGCTTCAGATATGTTGGAAGGTATATTATGTTTTGTTCTGGTGTCAGAGTATAGTCTGCAAGTTGTTACAATGTGTTTCAGTGTAAGTGATGTGTTGCATGTTTTACAAAATGGTGGTTCCAGTCCTCTCATTAGGTAGCCATGGGTAAAGGCTGCATGTCCAATTCTAAGCCGAGTTAAAATTGTTTCTTCTTTCCTGTTCTTTCTGAAAGAGGTCGTCCACGGTTTGGTATCTTTTTTGATTTCTTGCAATTTATTCGTAGATTGGTTCCACTTGAATTGCCATTTTTCATTTAGGATTTTTTTGCATTCCAATCTCCAGTCAGCAGTGGTCGTTAAATTGATCATTGTGGTTCCATTAGTTTTTCTTCTTGCCAGGTTCGCAGCTCTGTCTGCAGCTTCGTTCCCAGGTATGCCACAATGTGAGGGTGCCCATGCGAGGACGATGTCTCTGTCCGACGACTCCTTCATTTCCCAGAGGCAGTTTTTGATTTTCCTGGAAATGGCATTGTCGGCTTTCCCTTCGGCAATGGCCATTAATGAGCTTAAAGAGTCTGTAACTATAAGGCCATTTTTTATGTTTTTTCCTGTTAGTAATAACAATCCTGATATATGGCGAATAGTTCGCCTGTGAAGACGCTGTTTATTTGGGGCAAATTGAATTTGAGGCACTGGTCTTTCAGTATTACTGCACATCCTACGTCACTATCTGTTTTTGACGCATCTGTATAAAGGGTTGTGTGTCCGAGGTATTTGTGTTTCATTTCTGTAAAAAGGTGTTTTTTGACGAATTGGTCGTCGTCAGTTTTTATTTTCTTAGCTAGAGACGTATCTGTTTTTATGAAAGAGTTATTCCATTGGTAGAATAAAGCGTCGTCTATTGTCATTATATTGTCCAGTCTGAAGTCTAATTGTATAAGTAGTTTGTGGGTTCTCTCCGTAATGCCAGTTGAGTAGTACACTTGGTTGGTGTTGATGCTGGTAAACAAACTATGGTTAGGGTGGTCCGGTTTAGAAATTATAGATGAGGCGTAAACTAGAGTAAGATAGTCTCTTCTTAAAGCTAAGCTCGGTTCTCCACTTTCGACGTATAGGCTTTCAACGGGAGAGGATCTAAACGCCCCGGTGCATAATCTTATTGCAGTGTTGTGGACGGTGTCGAGTATTTTGAGTGCTCTCTCAGAGGCTGAATTATATACAATACTTCCATAGTCTATTTTACTTCTTATTAAAGTTCGATACAGGATAAATAGTGTCTTTCTGTCGGCTCCCCAGTTCATTCCAGAAACAGCTCTGAGTATATTTATTAGTTTTAAGCAATCTGTTTTCAAATTACGTAAATGCACTGTCCAGCTGTCTGTCTAACCACATCCCAAGAAAACGTACACTTTCTACGAATGGTAAAATT